TTATATTGCTCAAAAGCCTTAATTTACAAGGGTTAAAGATTAAGCAAAAGTTTATAAATTTTAAGTGAAAATGTATGATCTGGTTTATTTGATCTTCTTATCTTAAAGGATTTCCTTTTGCAAACGGCATTGCCAGGTGGTTTTAGGAGACGCGCTCTGCAGATGTCGGGGTGAGAGAAGAGCACTAACATGGGTAAGTTCAAGGTTCCGGCCACTCCGACCCCCAGGCAGCCCAGTTCGGTTTCTAACTCCCATGAGGACATGCCGGAAGATCCCGGGAAGACAAACCCTCTCTGTACGACTCTTGTGACTCACAATATTTCCCTGTGATGTGCCCCCCCAACCAAGAACAGCCATTTTCACGTATCATTTTATTTTTAATTAGCATACAAAGTGACAGGTTTCCTCAAAGCATTTCATACGTATGTTAGGGTCTCCCCCACCTGGTCCTCTCTGCTTGTACCCTGTGCCCCACCCTTCTTCCTGACCACTTTCTCATCACTTGTGAATAATAGTAATTGTTTAAATCATTATTTTTTAGTTTTTGAGATTATAATATAATTGCATCACGATACCTTGATACTCTTGACAACTTGACTTTTCCCAGTTTTCTATCTTGTTTATGACCAGAAGCTTGTAGGAACAGCACCCTGTTGGTCTCCTGAGGCTCAGTCTTTCCCAGTTCGGCATCCAGTGACGTCAGGAACCTTTGTCTCCACAGCCGGTGGGAGCCATGCATTTGGCTGCTTTGTTGGAACTGATGCTTATGAGTTGGAGTGTGGAGGAAGCTTTTCCCTGTTGGGTGGTGTGATGGTTGATTGTAATTGTCAACTTGACATAACCTACAGTCATCTGCAAGGAGAGTCTCAGTGACGGGTTGTCTAGATCGGATCGGCCTGTGCATGTGTCTGTGGACGAGTGTCTTGATTGCCTTAAGGCTGTGGTTCTTAACCTGTGGGTGGCAACCCTTCTGGGTCAGTGACCCCTTCACAGGGGTTGCCTAAGACCATCAGAAAACATTGTGCATTATGATTCCTAACAGTAGCAAAATCCCAGTTATGGAGTAGAGATGATTTTATGGCTGGGGATCACCTGAGGAATGTGAGGAGCTGTATTAAAGGACGGCAGCACCAGGAGGGTCGAGAACCACTGCCGTAAGGGATGTGGAAAGACGCAGCCTGAATGTGGGCTGCACCATGCCACAGTTTGGGATCCTGGCCGCAGGAGCAGAGAGAGCTAGCTGAGCACAAGCGTACATCCATTCACTTCTTCCTGCCCTTGACTGTGGGGGGGATGTGAGCAGCCGCCTCAGCTCCTGTCCCTGTGACTTCCCAACAGTGACGGACTGCACCCCGGAACTGTGAGCTCCATAAGTCCCTTCTCCCCTACGTTGCTTTTTTGTCAGGGTGCTTTATCACAGCAGCAGAACATGGCACCGGCACAGGCGGTCCCAGCGTGTCTGTTACGTGTGGTCCCCGACGCGGCTTTGACCTACAAGTTTCTCCACACAGGCTTTGGTTTTCTTTTGTACTGGGAACTGAATCTAGGACCTCACACCTGCTAGGTAAGTGCTCTACCATGAGCTGTTAAACCATGGAGTGTGTGTGTGTGTGTGTGTGTGTGTGTGTGTGTATGTGTACCAGAAGGGCAGTGTGTGTGTATGTGTGTGTGTATGTGTGTGTGTGTGTGTGTGTGTATGTGTACAAGAAGGGCAGTGTGTGTGTGTATGTATGTGTGTGTGTGTATGTGTACCAGAAGGGCAGTGCGTGCGTGCGTGTGTGTGTGTGTGTGTGTGTGTGTGTGTGCACGTACATGTACCTTGCTATCTGACCATGGGTCACTGATACTTGCAAGCACAAAGGTATAGATGAAATGGGGTGTGGGGCAGTCTAATGAGCATGGTTCCTGGGGTGCTTACTATGGTGCCTACTTTAGAAAAAGAGAAACTGAGGCCCAGAGAGGCCACTGCAAGCAACAGCCTGGGGCAGCTGCATTCTTCTTCACTTGGCCATGACCACGATGGCAGGTGGCTGCCCACCTGTCTTGGTGTCTTGCTCCCCTCTGGGTGACTGGCAGCAAGCTTATGTTGGGCAGCCACCTCACAGGACAAGCCTTTGGGTCCTGCAGGGGACAGGCTTCCTGGTTGGTTTTGCTCACCATCCTTGCCTCCAGTAAGCAGTAAGTCTGTTTTAAAGAATCATGCTTTCAATGAAATGTTGCCTATATCAGACAGGATGCAAGTGACTATTTTAATACAGTTAGAAGAATTCAGAAAATTGCAAAAGGTTCCACTTTTGGCTGGTCCAGGTGATGAGTTGGTTTCCTCTGAGACAGGATGTTTCCTGTTGTAAGGAGAGCTGATCCCTCCCGCAAAGGAACTACCTGCTCCTTCCATACCTAGAACGGTACTGTTGGCCTAAGCCCATCTCTGCCTCGCTCCTCACAAATATGGGTTAGAGGTTGAGTGGGGTGTGGACAGAGTGCTGGACTCCCCTAGGGGCCAAGTGAGGGCTCTTGAGGAAATCCCACCGCTTCTTGTCTCCACTCTCAGACTCCTAATTGTGAACTTTCTCATTAAAATAACAAGGCCCATGGTTGCCAGAGACACAGCATGCGGCATTGCTCATCTTCATGGAAACCCTGTCTCTTTCTGTTCCCTCCAAAATGCAGACAGATCCTCCTGACCCAGGCCGGGGAGGCAGTGGCCCTCTTGGTGCAGTTAACGGTCCCCAGGACCCCTGCTGGCCCTGCAGTGGGGGGTCACAGTGGAGAGGCATTCATGTTCCTGGTCTGGCATCCTGGACGGACTGTGAGCTGTGTGGTGGCTTTCCCATGGCAAGCGAAACCCCGGCAGGCCAGGGAGGTTAGTTATAAACACTCCCCAATGCCAGAGCCTGTGAACGACCCGTTCCCTCCATGTGCAGGAATGTATTTGCAGCACAGCTCATCACTTTGAAGATGAGTCCAAACTTTGATTCACATTTATTGACAGGAAGTTGTTTTTCAAAGCTGCAGGCGGCAGGTGGGCTGGGTGCCAATCGGCTCCCGCACCTTCTTGAGCTGGCGTGCACTGGGGACCATAAATTGCACCCCCACCTCGCTCCTTTTTTCCTGCAGATTTGCCCAGAGGTTGAACATGCCTTTTTCCGTTCATAAAGTTTCTTCCTTTTAAAACTTTTTTCCCCCTTGTAATAGAGAAAATCATTTATTGGGAGTGCAAAGGTTCCCTTCTCCATTTTCTCGCTGAAATTCTTCAAAAACGTTTAGCGCTGTCCACACTCTCTTCCCTGCCCCTTACTGAGCGGATGTTCCCTGCAAGTGTCCCCCCTCCCACCCCCTCCAGCTGAGAGTCCCCTGGGCTGTCTGCCACAGTCCTCATGCGGATGTAGGGGGCAGCTAGGCTCTGCTGTGCACAGGCCTGGGGCATGCTGGGAGACAGGAGCCTCTCCAGCTCATTCTGAGGCCCGGGTTCTCCTTCCCAGACATTTCTTTGGGAGCCTGTGACAGCTGGGAGTGGGGACCTGTGGTGGTGGGTGGTGTGTCTCCAGCCATTTCCTGGGTGTCCTTGACCAAGAAGCCCAGGCATTTGTGTCTGGTCCTAGGTGGGGCAGATCCTTCTATCTCCCAATCACGTCTGCCAGGGAACGTCTGTCCTTCAACAAGATTCTTCTCCAAGCCCTGTTCTTCCCACTGATCTGATGTGGGAGTCCAAGCTTCTCACCCCAAACGGGGCACTGGTTTCTGAGAGAGCATGGAATCCCTCTTTTCCATCCGCTTGGCCACACCTGTTTTGCAGTCTGTGGCCGCAAGTGATCCACCTGCTGGCAGGTGGTGGCCTTTTATGAGCTCATATCTAAGAAGTGATTGCAGCACCTCTCTGCTCTCTTAAGTGCCAGTGGACCAGTCAGAGCTGCCGGTGGTTGCTGTGATCTCTGGGTCACACCGTACTTCATAGGGTCCTGGGACCTATCCGGGGCTGCTTGGTCTACAGTTGGCTGCTCTCAGAGTTGACTTGGCTCTTCCTTCCCTTCCCCAACTCACAACTCCTTTCCCCTCCTTACAGTCACCTTGGTAGCTTCCTGACTCTCCACGGTCCCTTTATTCTACCATGCTTAATTGGGCTTAGACACTGCCAGTTTCCAGGAGGATGTGAGTGTGTGGTTTCTTCTGGGTTTGCAGACAGGCTGTACCCTGTCATCTGATGCTCAGGAGCCCAGGTTGTGGCTAGAGTCCACGCCAGCATCCTCCAGTATGCAGATGCCTGGCCATGGAATAGCGAGGGTGCATAGTGGTGGCTGAGGTGCGCATGCTCCAACGGCGGGACTCCTTGGAGAGATTTGATTCTGTCTATTGAGAGGCCAATCTGCCTTATTATTTTGTTGTGTGTGTGTGTGCATATTAATAACGATTTTTATTTTTAGTTGTGTGTGTCTGTGTTGAATATGTGCACATGTGTGTGCAGGTGCTTTCTGAAGATGGAAGAAGGTGCTGGATCTCCTGGAGCTGGAGGCATGGGTGGTTGAGGGCTGTCTGATGTGGGCGATAGTAACTGAACTCAGGTTCTCTGTTATGGCAGTACTTGCTCTTAACCACTGGGCCATCCTCCAGTCCTCGCTTTAGGTTTTCTGACCTCCATGAGGGCCCAAATTCCCAAATAAACAGTCTTTGTGTGCTAGCTTAGCTCTAAAATTTGCACAGGCTAACTCTGTGCTGGACTGGGGAGGAGGGAGGTGTGTGTGGGGGGGAGTCAGAAGGCTAATGAATCTGTTGTAGAAGAAATGGGAGGGCTTTGGTCAGCCCTGGCATGAAGAGGGAGGCCAGCTTGGGTGTGTGTGCAAGGGGTCTGGGTAGCTGCCCTTCAAGGTCAGTGTGGGAATCTGTATCACGTGTTGCTCCCAAGATGGCACTGGAGCAGTGAGGCAAGCTCTCAGGTGTAGGGACAGGCTGCTCTGGATCCTCACCTCTTCTTGTGGTTCTGTGAGCTCTGTGCCCACCCCTGAGCAAGAGCGCTGAAGGCCCTGGTAGGCTCAGTTTGCCTGCAAGTCACGTGCTGGAGAGGAAGTGCCACCGAGGGTGCTAGAGGCTAGTCATGCTTAATCATCCTGCTGAGCTTTGGTGCCTCATTCAGGAAGTGCTCGTTGGATCTCATGGTTCCCGGGGCTGGGAGCTCCTGGACAGGCTCAACGCCTCCCTCCCGAGGCTGTGCCATGTGGGTGAGTCCATGAACACCTCACTGAGTGGTAGCCATATGCATTGCGCCAATGGCCTGAGGCTCTGTCCCGCTAGCTCCTGGGGTCATCCTCACCTATGAGAATCCAGAATGACTAGAATGTGTACCAGGCCAGCCATGGGCCCAGTCCTCCTGTTCTGCTGCCCTCTGGACGGACTCTTGTTGTAGGGGGCGGGGCTCTCTGGGCTCAGCAGAGGACTCCTCCTGCCCCCCACCCCCCACCCCCCACATCAGGGTCTTTTCACTCCCTCCTCCTGGCATGTGCAGGCCCGTTCTCGGGTAGCTTTCATCGCTTTGGGGGGTGTTCCTTCCACATTCTCAGGTGGAAGTGTTTAAGCGCAGTCCCAGCAACCAGCCCTTTGGATCAGCTACCCCGGCGTGGTGCCCCTGCAAAT